TGAATCAAGCTTTCATATGGTTATAGATGGTCTTAACATGCAAGATTTCATTCCTTCTCTACCTCTTTCTCCTTATTTTCTTACCCTTAATTTTTTCACACATCATTTTCCCTACTTTCTCCCAAGCCTTTTAACAAATTTTCATTGACTTGCCACATAACCCTTTGATATCTTTCATGAATGCTAAATTTCATTACATGTAAATGTTTAAACTAATTTAAATACTTTTTAAGTGGACAGTTGGCTTTAAAGTATGAACTTATCGAGAAGTAAAAAGGAAAAATATATGTCATACTTGATAACTATGCAAAAAAAGTAAAGGAAACTATTTTACAACCAAACCCAACAATCGGAAGAAAAATTATTTAGAATGAAGAAAAAACGTAGGAAACTAAAACCAAAAAAATCAAACATGTGGTAGCCCAAAGATCTTTTAGGATCCTTTTAATATATAGTAAAATAAATGATCAAATGTTAGCCCCACAATTTATTCTTAATGACTTTTCTGGCTTACGTACATTGTTGTCAAGCTTATTTCATTTATCAACCCTATCTCCTTTTAAACAAGTAAAATGCTTCATAATTAGAACATCATTGCTGCCTTTACGAACTCCAAAGCCTATGGCAATATCATATGCTTTATAAAATTCAAAAGCATCATCAACTACATCAAATTTTATTCCAAATATATCATATTTTGAAAGTTCATCCAATGCTTTTGTATTAGACAATGTTGTTCCATGCTCTCCATAAGGCTATAACATCCAAAAAAATATGTAAGAACAAATAAAAATAGTTAAATATTAGCACCATAAAATAGTTAAATACTTTACCACTCTTTATGACACATGTATATAGTGCTCAAAGCTTCAAACTATTTTTCAAGTTCCATTAATATACAATAAACTTTTTCTAATTTAGACAAGTAATAGTTGTTTTATCTCTTCCAAAGTATTATTAACAAACACCTAATCTTTGTTTTATTTCTTAAGTAATACTTTAAGAGATTTTTGTATCATAAATGAAGCAATATGACCATTTTAAACAATAAACAAGATATTGGTTGAATTTATAAACTTAAATTAAAAATACAATATTAGAATTTAGTGTTGCAATGATCGAAATCTATAAACTAAAATTTATATATTTGCTAGAGAGTCTAAAAAGGCCACAAGAAAAAAAAAAAGGGAAAGATAAAAGGCAATAATCAAGATAACAACTCTAATAATTAATTGCAATAATCACGAAGAAATTATTTTATACTAGAAATGTGCCCGCGTGTTATTACAATTAAATTTAGTAATTCGTATATTTATGTCTTGTAAAAATAATAGAAATTCATATATTCATATTGTGTCTTACATAAAAATTATATGTCACAATTCGTGTTTACAAAAAAAAAAAAAGAAATATATATTTTGGTTTATGTTAAACCAATATATATTTTTAGCTAAAATTTTAATCCTTGTAACTTTCATATATATTTTCATATTGTCTTTGTATTGTATTTGGAATTGCTTGGTCTAACCAGACTTAAAATTTTTTTGTTTTACAATATCTATTCATCATATATTTTATGTGAAATTTATCAAATTGAAAAAAGAAAGATGAAAGGAAAAAAATGTTCATGTAACATGGATATCTTAATTGCCCCCTTTCTCATAAAATTAATCCAAAAAAATAACATCCAAAACCAAAAAAAAAAAAAAGATAGTGAGAAAAAGGTAAACAAAAAATGGGAAAAAAAACTAAAAATGAGTCTATAAAACGCTAATATTAGGTGCTACATTCACATTTCATATCGAGATTAAAGTGAAAATTTTTTAAATTAAAGTAAAAAAATTTACTTTATTAATATAATACTTATATATGTTTAAAGCTAAATATATTTTTAAAAAATTAGCCACAAAAAAGAAAAAATGTAAAAAATAAAGAAAATTTTAAACATTAAAAAGGAAAAAAAACAAATAGGAAAAAAAGTAAAAGCAAGAAAAAAAAGGGTTTAACATATGACACTTTAAAAGGGTCGACAAAAAAAATTAAAATATTAAACCTATCTATTAAATATGAAAAAGAAATAAAAACACAAAAAGTAAAAAAAAAAAAGCAAAAAAAGCAAAAAAAAAAAAAAACTTTTATTGGCATGTGTAAAGTTAAATTTACAACATTTATATATAAAATGTATATGACATATTAGAATTAAATATTAATTCAGTACTTTTGTTGTTTTTGCGTAATAATATCTTTTGTTAGTAATGACATAAATATTTGATTGTTACGTCCTAATTTAGGATACATCTAGAGTTTTATTAAAATTTTATGTAATAGAGATTAATTGAGTTATAGAATATTCAAAAAGAGATAACTTTTCATATTTTATATGAAAGAATGAAATTACTTTTTTCAAGAAAACAAAAGTAATTGAATTGAGTTAATATATATTCTTAAGAGTTTTAGAAGGTACTAATCTTGAAATTTTTTTCTTTTGTTCCATATATGAAAAAATCTTTACGTGATGACAAATAACATTCCAACATCAATGGAAAAAGTAAAATTTGGATGGTTAGGGTTAGGATTTTGTTTTTGGTTTTTTTTTTTCTTTTGTGTTCTCTCAAGCTATAACAGTAAAAATTAATTATTTTTTATAGATAACTCCAACATTTAAAGAACATTTCCAAGACTAAAAAAGGACAAGATAAAAGAATTGATATTTTCAAAATAAAGAATTATTAATGTAAATATGGGAGAGAAATCATAAAATTCGTATCATTTTGCAAAAAAATGGATTAAAATTGTCTTAATACCATAAGAAATAGCTATAAAATTTTTAAAACGTAATGGAAGGTAAGAATATCAGTAAAAATATATTATTTTCAGTAAAAAAAAATATTATTTTGACTTTATTTGTTTAGCTAAAATTGACTTTCAAAAAATATTTTTTGAAAATGTTTTCATTTTCTGGTAAATAGAGACTTTGTATTGTTTGGATGAGCCAAAAAAAATATTTTTTGTTATTTGGTTATTTTTTGAAAAATCTACTATTTCTTTTTAAATAATATTAATATAACTATTAAAATATTAAAAATGATTTATTATTACAACATTGAAATTATTTATTATTAAATTATTAATATTAAAAATAATTTTATTTTATTAATAATATTTAATACTAAAATATTATATTAATATTAAACACTTAAATAAAAAAAATATTTTTATTTTTATTAATATTTTAAAATATTCAAAATAGTATTAATTTCTTAAAATATTATTTCTATTAATGTAATAATATTAAAAATAGTAATATTTATTTTTAAACAATATTTATAAACATTATACTATTGAAATAGTTATATTCTATATTAAAAGTATTTATTATTAAATAGTAATATAATACAATTGTCAATAAAATAAAATATATATTTTAAATTGAAAAATATTAAAAAGTTATTAAAAATAAAATAATATTATTATGTTAATTAATATATATTATTAAAATGATAAAAATATTATTTACTATATAAATATTTAATATAATATTATTTATTATTGAAATATTAAAAATATTTATATTTAATAATATACAATATAGAAATAATTTAAATTAAAATATTAGAAGACTTTTAAAATTAATTTCTTTCAAGTTTGTTCAAATTAAATCCCAACTTAAAAAATCATATCCAAGATTTAGCTTGAGTAGATTTATAGATATATTTAAAATTAAAATATTGGAATTTTTATATTAATATTTTAAATTTTTTAATGAAATTAAATAAAAATATTTTTATTAGTTTAATAATATTTGGAGTCCAGTTACATTGAAAAACTATATTCACTGTTTGACTTGAGTAAAACTATATTTACCAATTTGATAAGTAGTTATATTCATAAATAATTATTTTTTAAAAATTATCTTTTTTTTCAAAAGAAAAAATAAGTTTCCAAAAAAAATTTATTTTTCATTGATTAAGAAGTTATTTTTTATTTATTAAGAAATATTTTTAAAAAATTAATTTTATGCCACACAAATATTAAAAAATTTTAAAATTATTTTTTAAAAAACAATTTTTATTAAACAAATGTAATCTAAGAGATGAATATGTTATTTTATTAAAAAAAAATCATGAGCCCCTAGTGCACCATTTCAATAACCTAACTAAAAGAAAAAAACAATTTTTATATTTATCGATTGTCGTATATATATTAACATATATCGTGTGCATGTTAACCATTTTTACATTTAGGCTTTAGTTGGAATAACAATGAGTAAATTATGATGAAATTAAAAATAATTATATTAATAAGATTGGTTGTTATGATAATAAGCTTAAAATAAATAGTAAAAAAATATGTACATGTAAAAAAAGTTAACAGTAAGATGAATAAAAAAATCATTGAACATTAATTTAAAAATAAATTAATAAATTATTTTTATGTAACTTTAAATTTCAATTAACATGCAAAATATAAAAAATGTAAAATAATATAAAATGTTATTTTATATAAAATAATATTTGAATTTTAAATAAAGATGTCATATGTTTATAACAACATAAAAGTAAATAAATATATATTTATATATTTAAATTTGATTATCCTAAGCCAAAACTACATAGCTTACTTTTAATGATTTTTGCTTGAGTTAGGAGGCTTGAGCCGGATGAGACACCCACCGGTTGTTGCGGCTATCTCAAGTGACAGCTGAAACCCAAAAAAATGAAAATGTAATAAATTTGTAATATGATACCATATATTTAGAGAGAGAAAGGACAACAAACAACAACAATAAAGAAAAACAACTAAACCTTAATGACTTTTTATAAAGACTTCTTATAGAGAGTGTGGGATTGCTGTTGGAAGGTCTCTCTGTCTGTCTCTTTGATTTTCTTTTCTTTTCTTCCCCTAACCATTATGTCTGCAAATCTCCTCATTTCCTCTTCAACCCTTTCTTCCTTTTCTTCAGGTATGTCTTTACTTTACCTTTTTATTTTAAATTTATTGCCATTTCATAACTCTTCACTTTATTCCTACTATTGTATAACACCACAAATCTCTGCTTTTTTCCTCAGATCTTTTCCATTTTCTTGGTTTTTACTCCAAATGGCGATATGGGTATCTTTTGTTTTGTGATTTTAGCCTGTAAATTTGCTTGTTTTAGTTTTGCTGTTGAAATTGGAAGATTTTGATTTTTGATGCCAAAAAATTACTTTTTGTTTTTACAACATTAAAATGCAAGTGAAATCTTATGTTCAACTGTTCAATCTTATATTTTGGACTCTATGTAGAAAAAAAATTTGTTCCTTTAACTGAGCTCATTAAGCTTAGGAGTATATGTTTCTTTGTATAGATCTCCTTCATTTTATCTATTTCTGGTGAAAAGGAAAGAAGCTGTGCTTTGTTTCTTTGATTTGGATTGTTTCTTATATTGGATCTCACGGCCTTTTTCTTGATTTTGTTTGAAATGTTGATCCGGGTGATTGATTCTGGTTGTTTGGGTGGTTGAGGACAGAAATGACACTTTTTTTTTTTTAATTCTATGGAAACTTGCAATGATGATCTTTTTTGATAAATATAAGTATTTTGACTTAATGGACTCTGTTAATTCCTGAGAAACTGTGCAATAGCACAAGAGAAAAAAAAAGCGCCTTCCTACAGCATTTTCTCAGTACTGTGAATTCTCGTTCTCTTCTTTTGCCTTCAGATCTGTCTTTGTTTGAATTTCATTCAAAATCATGATGTGCTAAATGTGAAATCAGCAGTCCGTCTAATGCAAGATTTGAAATTGGTCACTGTTTTGGATGTTTTGTTTAGTGACACAGTTTCTATTATGGTTTACTTAGTTGGTTTGGCAAAAAAAATTATGTTTGATACCTTAGTTTTTGATGATACAATAATGCAAAAGTCTCAAGTAAATTACATCTAACGAACTATTGAGGGATATTATAGAACTTTGGATTTTATAGCATCAAATCATAGTTCTTAATTTTTTATTCTGTTTATTGATATTATAGCAAGCAAAGGTTTATTTAAAATTGTGAGAACGGAAGTGTTCTGGGGTAATTGCTATGAACTGGGACTTTCATGGAGTTTGTTTTGATAATAAGACTCTTTGTGATCATGTGATTCTTCCTTACTTGGCAAACTGTTGTCAAAGAATCTAATTTTCAAGTCTTATACTCAGAGACAGTTATGTTACCATGTTGCTTATGTTCATTGTAATTTTGGTTTTTTATCATATTTGAGATCCTCCTAATTGAATTTGCACTTTTCTGCCATTGAATACTTCGTTGAAATTTTGGATCAGTGATCTTTCTTCTCTTTCATGTTTACTCTTTCATTTTGTCTTCCACATGGCTGCCTCTTTGTTGTTTGCTCCTTGCTTCAAAGATCTAATGAAAAATCTATCTGATTATCAAAAAACCTGCTTACTCTAGTACAAATGAAAACCTGAGATGCCATCTAATTTTGAAACTTTGATGCTGCTTCTATATATATATATATTAGAGGAATCTTTTTTGAATGCTATCTTTATCATGTACAAGATTAATTTATGTTCCTCTTTTCTATTGCTATGTCAATTAGCTCTTTACCTTTTGAACCTAATTTGTGATAAGTCTATATAAATTTCTGAAGGTATTTGAATAAACCACTTTTCTAATGGCCAAGGTGCTATTTGTTCTCAGGGGGCTTTGAATTCTTGTAAGCATAGTTGCTAGCAGTTGCTGTTGTTGTGTGATCTTGGTCTCGGTCCATTCTATTTAGGAAGCTAGATGGGTTCCAGATTCCCATCTCATCAGCTCAGCAATGGGCTTTATGTCTCAGGCAGGCCAGAGCAACCTAAAGAAAGGACTCCAACCATGAGCTCAGTAGCCATGCCGTATACTGGTGGAGATATTAAGAAGTCAGGAGAACTGGGGAAAATGTTTGATATCCCTATGGATGGTTCTAAGTCCAGGAAATCTGGGCCTATAAGTAGTGCTCCTTCAAGGACTGGATCTTTTGGGGGTGCTGCTTCACATTCTGGACCAATCATGCCGAATGCAGCACCTCGGGCAGGCTATACTACAGGAGGTCCTGGTGCCATTGGAGGCATATCTGGTTCAGCCTCATTAAAGAAGTCAAACTCTGGACCGCTGAATAGACATGGGGATCCTGTAAAGAAATCATCTGGTCCACAATCTGGTGGAGTAACACCAAGTGGACGTCAAAATTCTGGTCCTATTCCTCCTGTTCTCCCTACAACTGGCCTTATTACATCTGGGCCCATCTCTTCAGGCCCATTGAACTCCTCTGGGGCTCCTCGGAAAGTGTCTGGTCCTTTGGAATCTATGGGATCAATGAAAGTAAAAGGTTCTGCTGTTGTTCATAATCAGGCTGTGAATGTTCTTAGCCAAGATGATGACTTTTCTTTCAAGAAGAACTTCCCAAAACTAATATTATGGGCACTGATACTGCTTTTTGTAATGGGTTTCATTGCTGGTGGTTTTATTCTTGGAGCAGTTCACAATGCCATTCTCCTCATTGTTGTTGTGGTTCTTTTTGGTGCTGTTGCTGCATTATTTGCTTGGAACTCCTATTGGGGGAGAACAGCTATTTTGGGTTTCATTGCTCGTTATCCAGATGCTGAGCTTAGAAATGCAAAGAATGGACAATTTGTGAAAATTTCTGGGGTATGTGATCTATTTTACCCATTTGATATGATAGTTTCATAATAGCTACTGGCAAATAGTGATCTACAATCACATGAACATCCAAAATTTTCAAGGATGTTTCTTCAAATCCTGAACAGCTTTTTCCCTCCCTCTATGAAACTGTCGTTGTTAAGGGTTTCCTTGTTATAGTTGGTCCTTTGTCCAGATTAAGGACAAGGATTTCATTAAGTCACTGGTAGCTATCATGATACTTTGTTGAATCTTTATATGTGGATCTTTTTGGAAATTGAATTTACTTAATAGGAGAAGGCTTAGACTTCTCTTGTTAGATGCTTTTGCTTTTTGCTACTCCTCGGTCCAAATTGTTAGTCCTCGTTGGACTTTCATGGCATTTGAAAAAAAAAAAACTTTTGACTTTGGTGTATTTATATTAAAATTTTAAATTTTTTTATAAAATTGGTGTTCCATAGTTTTTATTTTCAAAAAATAAAAAAATAATGAAAAATAATTTTGGAATAAAGAAAAAGTAAGAGATTTAATTGTTATAAAAAAGAAAGAGGACATAGTTTTGGGACATCCAAGACATACAAAGAAAATGGGATGTAGGGAGTATTTGTCTTGGTTGTTTTTTTTTATTTTTGATCTTTTGCTTTTACTTTCTATTCAATTTTTGGCAAATTTTTATTTTTTTTTAAAAAAGCAAAAGCATGAACCAGTTGGGGGGCCTTAGTTTGTTCTTGTTGTGTGTTTTCTTCGAAGCTAATGCTTTTTGTTCCTCTCTACTTCCTTCCTTCTTTAAAACTCTTTCTTCTTCTGCTTATTGGGGCACTGAAATTTTTCGACAATTGTTTAGCTTTGACAAATTTATATGTTACATACAATCAAAAAGTATATGACAGAAACTAGCAGAGACTGGTGTTGGGAGTAATCTGTTTCCTTAATGAAATTCCTTAGGATAGAGATGGTAGTTAAAATACTTACTATTTAAATTCAAATAACTCGTATGTATTTTAACTATTAACAAGGAAAAATTTTAGGACCATGAGTCGATAAGAGTTTAAGCATGTATTGTTGAGTCACTGTGACATATACTTGGCAAACATCAACTTAAAATTTTGTAAGATATCATTTGTTTTACTAATAAAGATTGAAAGACCTGAACTGACTTTAACGTAATTGATTCTGAAACATTAAATCTATTTTAAGGTGGTGCCATTCATTCACACCTACTTGTGTAGGTAGTAGTACATAAAATGTAGTGGTTCCATGGGGTTGAGCCTATGGTAGTTACCAGGTATCTTAAGTTAATTCTTCAAATTAATAAAATTTTCACTATAAGAGTGTTTAACCTAAATTGTGTAAAATATTCCTTATATGTTATCTATACGGTTAAAAAACTCTATATGGTTTGAAGTGTGATATTAAATAAAAAATATATATAATTTGAGTTGATGTCAAGTTGGCAACTCAAGGTCCTATTGTAATTACTATGGCCTAAGCCTGTTGGATCAAAATCATGTACATATATGCATACAAGAGCGTTTATGTTATGTACATATAATCCCCCGTAACGCTGCACATCTTCTAGCTACTTGAAATTGAATTACTGGTTGTTTATGCTTGTGTAGTGTTTTTTGTTGGAACCATTTAGTTTATCTGCTTGTTAATGTGCGGATGACATCGATTAAGTGTTTGGTTGTAATTTTTGTAGGTGGTAACATGTGGGAATGTGCCTCTTGAGTCATCCTTCCAGAAAGTTCCCAGATGTGTTTATGCATCTACTAGTTTGTATGAGTATCGAGGATGGGATTCCAAAGCTGCCAATCCCAAGCATCGTCGTTTTACTTGGGGACTCCGATTGTTGGAAGTGAGTAATTGAATTGTTCATTTTTATTTTATTGTTTCCTTATTTTTTATGAAATTTGCTGTGGCTTGCCCTTATTTTAAATTTTGAAGTAGCTGAGGAGTTTCCGCTCTTTAGATGTAAAAGGAAACAAGGCTTTTATGTGTGCTGTGAAGCGGTACGTTGCTCTATGCTTACAGGTGTTGCTGGGCAGATATGCCAAAACTTGTGTTTATATGTTGTCTAATGTATTTTAATTCCCTATTGGGAAAGATTTTTTTGTCTTTTTCCCCTATGTTCAGCTTTGTACGTACTCTAGGCTTCTTTGTTGTTTCGAATTATCAAATTTTACCATGAGATGCTTCACCAAGTAGTTCAGAAGCTTTGATCAACTAACACTTTCAATATGATTCAGAAAAAAAAAAAAAAAAAAACTGACACTGTTTGTATGGTTCTGGGAAGCTGGATAAACTTTCATCAGGTTCTCTTTTCTGCCACGTAAAAATAAAATTTATCTACTTGTTATCGCAAGAGGGTCTTCTTTACACACTATAACCCTAGGATCCAAGTCATTGGAGGATATAACCTTTTTAATTGAGCTTGAGATTTCACTTTCAAATGTAACCTTTATGTATGTCATTTTGACAGAGGCGTGCAGTTGACTTCTACATATCAGATTTCCAGTCTGGGTTGAGAGCATTAGTAAAAGCAGGCTATGGAGCAAGAGTGACTCCTTATGTGGATGACTCAATTGTTATAGATGTCAACCCAACCAATGAAGTGTTGTCTCCAGAATTTGTCAGGTGGTTGGCAGAAAGGAACCTTTCCAGTGATGACCGTGTTATGCGAATGAAAGAAGGGTAAATGTTCTCTCCCATTCATAATTTCACCATAATATTAAGTGCTTATGTTGCAGGAACAATAAATGTATCCTGAGGCTCTCTCTCTCTCTCTATATATACACACACACTCACACACACACATATATATACACATATTTTGGTGCTTTAAAGGTCTCTCTATTTGAGTGATGGCTGATAGGGCTTATTCTTGAGTTCGCAAATTCTTAGAAGTTATCTTCTGCAATGCACTATTTTCGAGATGGGTAGTTTTTTGTGATATTCTCCAGTTGTAAGGATCAGTTGGTCATAAACTGGGATTGCAAAGTGAAGCCTGATGTCCTCAGCTCCTTGACCTAGTGGCTAAGAAGCTGTTAGGAGGAAATAGAGGTCTTAGTTTTGAACCAAGACTTCCTCATCTTCCCCCATGGGCTATGCCCATCCATTGTACCAAAAAAAGTGAAGCCTGATGTAAGGTTTCCTAGCTAGAGGTGGCAAAAATCTAACCAAACTGAAAAAATGGTCCAAATCGGTTAGAGACCAAACCCTGTCCTGTCTGGTTGACCAAAAGTAGTCAAAGATCCAAATCCTAAACCGTTTGATCTGGTCAAAACCCGAAAAGCTCAAACTTGAAGCAATCTGGACCGAAGTAATCCTAACCTGCAAAGCAAAACCTGAGACCGATCCAATGCAAAACCCATAAAAACCCGAAAAGACTCAAACTGTAATCAATCCAAGTCTGACCAAACTCGAGATGGCCCAAACTCGAAATGACCTAAATTTGAGACAGTACAAAACCAAGATGGCTCAAACCTGTCATTGTCCAAACCTGAAATGGCCCAAATTTGAAATGGTTTATGCCCAAATTGTCTAAACTTGAGACGATCTGAATTCAAAATAATTTGAACTTGAGGATAGATTGACCGACTTGAACTTGCTCAATTGCCACCTCTAGCACTAGCTCTAAAATGTGCACTTAGCTTTGATTGATGTGGGTTGTAAATTATTCAACTTGCTTACCATTGCATTGTCTTATGTAGCAGCATGGTACTCCTTATGGTTGAATTGATCCCCAACTCAATGAAATTATGAAATTAAATAATAATGAATTAGGATCGATTAAGAGGGAAGTGTGAAGGCCATTTGGGTTGGGATGGGAAGTTTAAATGCAACTTAGACTAGCGTGCTGTTTTTACTAAGGTTTCACTGTTTATAGTCTAGTCCATTTAATGGGCACTTGTACCTTTTGAAATTTTCATTTTCAATTAAATTGAGGAAAGCTTCATAGTTCTAGCTCTAACTTCTTAGCATATGAGATGCAGTTGTTTTTGCATTGTAAATGAGTTGGATATTAAAAGCACTTAAGCTCTTATTTCTATCCCAAATCTTAGAATAAGTTGGTTAGAAAAACTCTGATCATGTATGCTGTAAACTATATTGAAGTTGCAATTTAATGTTTATAGGTATATTAAGGAAGGAAGCGCGGTTAGCGTAATGGGAGTTGTACAGAGAAATGACAATGTACTTATGATTGTCCCTCCACCAGAGCCAATTACAACTGGATGCCAGTGGTTCAAATGTATCTTCCCAGCTAGCCTCGAGGGTATTGTATTAAGATGTGAAGACACATCAAATAACGATGCCATACCCGTTTAGTAGCCTGTGCATTGTAAACTTTTCCAGCAACAACTCTTTTAAAATTTATTCTCTTTTTCTTCCTTTTTTTTTTTTTTTTCTATTAATATTTGGTGATGGTGGTGGCTGTGGTAAGGACGTGTGATGAACGTGGGAGGCTGGTGGCGTTTCTTATCCTTTTAACTTGGTGTATAGCTTTTTCAGGTTTATTTGCCCTTAATTTTTATCTTGTAGGCTTGAAGGCTGTTGTTATGGGGTTGTTTTCATGCGGTTGGGGATTTTATGTGTGAGAATTTCGTGATATTGTTAAATAGAAAGAAAAGCACTACAAGCTATTGAGTATATTTGTGTTTGTATGACAGTTTTGCTTTGTTTTTGTTGCCAATGACAGGCTCCCCTCGATTTTGATCATTAATGACTTTGAATTTCAATCTCACGTCCTGCGCACAAACACTATACTTGAATTACATGTTGCTAATTGGCTAAAATATTCAGGGTGTTGTTCAATTTAGGATTAATAATATAATTTAATCTCGTGTCCTCCAAATGAAAATTGCCATTTAATAAAAAATGCTAATGAAAGTTATAACTATGTCATTGTCATGAAAAATATCATGAGCCCTATACGTTACTTCAATAACCTAACCATGAGAAATAACTAGTTTCAAGTAAGACTGTAATTGTCGTTTATGGTAGACATTTTAACAATTCTTATATTTAGGCTCTGTTTGGGAAATTGGTGAGTTGATTACTATGTGATTGAGTGATTGAGTTAAGTTTGGTAAGATTAAGTTAAGTAACGATAAGATATGTATTTGGTAAAACAACATCCGTGATGAAGAAATGATATAGAAAAAATAACCATCAAACATTAATTTAAAAATAAATTAATAAATTATTTTCATCTATCTTTAATTTTCAATTAACATTTAAAATATTAAAAATTTATTCAAAATAAATATTGATACACATTATTTTATATTAAAATAATTACATTAAATCCTGAATAAGGATATCATATATAATATATATTAATATAATATATACTTATATAATAATATAATTATTAATAAATCAATATATTTGTTTAAACTAAGTCATAAGAACATAGTTGGCCTGCTAATATATAGTCCTAAACTGAAAACCCTATTTCGAGTCTTCCCATTTTAAAAATTTTTTATCATAATTTCTTTTTAAAAAATAAAAAAAAAATTATTTAGGTTCAAATTAAAGAGATATTAAAAATTATTTTTCTCATTAAGAAAAAAACTTAATAAATTAACAAAACGTTTTAAAAAAGTATTTAGAACAAGATGATTAATTTAAAAATTATGATAATTTACATTTAATAATTATATCACTTTATTTAATATTAATTTAAAAATTTTTAAAAATAATTATCTTAAATTATTAAAACAATAAAATTACTATTTTGAGACGACATTAATAAATTATAATATTATTATTTTATTCTTAATTGTAATGATTTTTGCTTGAGTCTGTAGGCTCTAGCCGGACGAGACACCCACTGGTTGTTGCGGCTATCTCAAGTGACCGCTGAAACTAAAAAAAATAAAATGTACGTAATGGGATAAGCAAATAAGTAAATTTGTATTATGATATATATATATATATAGAGAAAGGACAACAAACAACAACAATTAAAAAAAAAACAACTCAACCTCAAAGACTTTTTACAGAGAGACTGTGGGATTGTTGTTGGGAGGTCTCTCTGTCTGTCTCTTTGATTTTCTTTTCTTTTCTTCCTCTAACCATTATGTCTACAAATCTACTCATTTCCTCTTCAACCCTTTCTTCCTTTACTTCAGGTATGTCTTTACTTTACCTTTTTCTGTTGCACTTATTTCCATTTTATAACTCTTTACTTTATTCCTACTATTGTATACCACCACAAATCTCTGCTTTTTTCCTCAGATCTTTTTCATTTTCTTGGTTTTTACTCCAAATGGCGATCTGGGTATCTTTTATTTTGTGATATTACCCTGTAAATTTGCTTGTTTTAGTTTTGCTGTTAAAATTGGATGATTTTGATTTTTGATATCAAAAAATTACTATTGTTTTTTTTTTTTTTTTGACAAAATAAAAATGCAAGTGAAATCTTTATGTTCAAGTGTTAAATGTTATATTTTGGACTCTATGTAGACAAAAATTCGTTCCTTTAACTGAGCTCATTAAGTTCAGGAATATATGTTTCTTTGTATAGATCTCCTTCATTCTATCTATTTCTGGTGAAAAAGGAAAGAGGCTATGCTTTGTTTTTTTCATTTTGATTGTTTCTTATATTGAATCTCATGGCTTTTTACTTGATTTTGTTTGAAATGTTGATTTGGGTGATTGATTCTGGTTCTTTGGTGGTTGAGGACTTAAATGGCACTTTTTTTTTTTTTTTTAACTTTTATGGAAACTTGTAGTGATAATCTTCTTGCTAAATATGAGTATTTTGACTTGATTGATTCTGTTAATTCCTGAGAATATGTGCAACAGCACAAGAGAAAAAAAAAAGGCGCCATCCTACAGCATTTTCTCAGTGCTCTGAACTCTCCTTCTCTTCTTATGCCTTCAGATCTTTCTTTTGCTTCAATTTCATTGATAATCATGATGTGCTAAAATGTGAAATCAGCAGTCCATCTAATGCAAGATTTGAAATTGGTCACTGTTTTGGATGTTTTGTTTAGTGACACAGTTTCTATTATGGTTTACTTAGTTGGTTTGACAAATAAATTTATGTTTGATACCTTAGTTTTTGATGATACAATAATGCAAAATTCTCAAGTAAACTATATCTAACGAACTATTGAGGAATATTATAGAACTTTTCAATTTTATAGCGTCAAATCATAATTCATTTGGCCAAAAAATTCATAATTTATAATTTTTGGTTCTGTTTATTGATCATTTTAGCAAGCAAAGGTTTATTTAAAATTATAAGAAAGGAAATGTTCTGCGGTAATTGCTATGAACTGGGACTTTCATGGAGTTTGTTTTGATAATAAGACTCTCACTGATCATGTGATTCGTCCTTCTTTGATAAACTGTTGTCAAAGAATCTAATTTTCAAGTTTTATCCTCAGAGACAGTGATGTTACCATGTTGCTTCTGTTCATTGTAATTTTTCTTTTTAATCATATTTGAGATCCTCCTAATTGAATTTGCACTTTTCTGTCATTGAATGCTTCGTTGAAGTTTTGGATAAGTGATCTTTCTTCTCTTTCATTTTTACACTTTCATATTGTCTTCCACATTGCTGCCCCTCTTGTCATTTTGCACCTTGTTTCCGGGATCTAATGAAAAATCTATCTGATTACTAAAAAACCTGCTTACTCGAGCACAAATGAAAACCTGGGATGCCATCTAATTTTGAACTTTGATGCTACTCCTATATATTTTTGAGGAATCTTTTTTGAATACTATCTTTATCATGTACGAGATTAATTTATGTTCTCTTTTCTACTGCTATATGTCTTTGTGTGCTTTACCTCATTTGTGTGTCAATTAGCTCTTTAGCTTTTGAACCTAGTTTGTGATAAGTCTATAAAAATTTCTGAAGTTATTTGAATAAACCACTTTTCTAATGGCCAAGGTGCTATTTGTTCTCAGGGGGGCTTTGAATTCTTGTAAGCATAGTTGCTAGCAGTTGCTGTTGTTGTGTGATCTCGGTCCATTCTATTTAGGAAGCTAGATGGGTTCCAGATTCCCATCTCATCAGCTCAGCAATGGACTTTATGTCTCAGGCAGGCCAGAGCAGCCTAAAGAAAGGACTCCAACCATGAGCTCAGCAGCGATGCCGTATACTGGTGGAGATATTAAGAAGTCAGGAGAACTGGGGAAAATGTTTGATATCCCTATGGATGGTTCTAAGTCCAGGAAATCTGGGCCTATAAGTGGTGCTCCTTCAAGGACTGGATCTTTTGGGGGTGCTGCTTCACATTCTGGACCAATCATGCCGAATGCAGCACCTCGGGCAGGCTATACTACAGGAGGTCCTGGTGCCACTGGAGGCATCTCTGGTTCAGCCTCATTAAAGAAGTCAAACTCTGGACCGCTGAATAGACATGGGGATCCTGTAAAGAAATCATCTGGTCCACAATCTGGCGGAGTAACACCAAGTGGACGTCAAAATTCTGGTCCTATTCCTCCTGTTCTCCCTACAACTGGCCTTATTACGTCTGGGCCTATCTCCTCAGGTCCGTTGAATTCCTCTGGAGCTCCTAGGAAAGTGTCTGGTCCTTTGGAATCTATGGTATCAATGAAAGTAAAAGGTTCTGCTGTTGTTCATAATCAGGCTGTGAATGTTCTTAGCCAAGATGATGACTTTTCTTTCAAGAAGAACTTCCCAAAACTAATATTATGGGCACTGATACTGCTTTTTGTAATGGGTTTCATTGCTGGTGGTTTTATTCTCGGAGCAGTTCACAATGCCATTCTCCTCATTGTTGTTGTGGTCCTTTTTGGTGCTGTTGCTGCCTTATTTGCTTGGAACTCCTATTGGGGGAGAACAGCTATTATGGGCTTCATTGCTCGGTATCCAGATGCAGTGCTTAGAAAAGCAAAGAATGGACAATTTGTGAAAATTTCTGGGGTATGTGATTTAATTTAATGATTTTATATGATAGTTTCATAATAGCTACTGGCAAATAGTGATCTATAATCACATGAACATCCAAAATCTTCAACGGATGTTTTCTTGAAATCCTGACCATCTTTTTCCCCTCCCTCTATGAAACTGGCATTGTTAAGGGTTTCCCTACTATAGTTGGTCCTAAATCCAGATTGAAGGCAAGGCTTTCATTAAGCAGCTGACAGCTATTATGATACTTTGTTGAATTTTTATATATGGATCTTATTGGATATTGAATTTGCTTACTAGGAGAAGGCTTAGACTCCTTTTGTTAGATGTTTTGCTTTTTGCTACTCCTTCCATTCAAATTATTAGTCCTCCTCGGACTTTCAAAGCTTTAAAAAAAAAAAAATCCTTTGATTTTGGTGTATTTAATGTTAACATTTTTTTTTAAAATTGATGTTCCATATGTTTTATAGTAAAAAAGTAAAAAAAAAAAGTCATGAAAAATAATTTTGGAATAAAGAAAAAGTAATAGATTTAAATGTTCTAAAAGGAAAAGAGGACATAGTTTTGGAACATCTAAAAACATAAAGATGAACAAAGAAAATGTGACAGAGGGACTATTTGTCTTTTGGTTGTTTGTTTATTTTTTATCTTTTGCTTTTTCCTTTTATTTCAATTTTTGGCAGAAAAAAAAATCAAAATGCAAAAGCATCAATTAAATGGGGCCTTAGTTTGTTCTTGTTGTATGTTTTCTTAAAATTCTAATGCTATTTGTCCCTCTGTGTCCTCCCTTCTTTAAAACTCTTTCTTCTGATATTGGGGCACTGAAATTCTTAGAGTGACTGCTTTAGCTTTGACATATTTATATGCTACATTAAAGTATCAACTTTGCAAATAAGATTTGTAATCTCTTTCCTTACATGAAATTCCTTAGGATAGAGGTGGTAGTTTAAATACTTTTTAAATTCAAATAGCTCATATGTATTTTAACTACTAAGGAGGAAATATTTTAGGACCTGTCAAGTCACTGTGACATATACTTGTTGAACATCAATTTAAAATTTTATAAGATATCA